TATGGTATCAAGTAGACATTTGATTGATTGATTGATTGATTGATTGATTGATTGATTGATTGATTGATTGATTGATTGATTGATTGATTGATTGGTTGGTTGGTTTACATTCATTAGGTCATCAAATAATTAGTTGTCAATGCAACTGAAAATACAACAAATAATATCAAGACAATAATGACTGATTGTTGCAGGCAGAAGCACAATGCAAACACAAACTCCCCTAACCATCAAAATGCAAAATATAGAAATATGAGCACTTATTATCACTTAAATATAAGAACCAATAAGATGATTTGGAGAAAGTTAAATTAAATATAGTGGAAACTATTGTATTGCCACCAGACTAGATCTAAGCATTAAAAACATGAGTAAAATACATACTTTTGTTAATATACACATGAGCCAATTTCTATTTCTGTATTAAAACAGACCAAATTTTTCATATGGACCAGGTTTTAATTATCTCCCTTTTGATTCTTAGCATATAGCACTTGCTATTCTGCAAATCAGCTTCTGAGGAGATGAATTGTTTTATTTGGCAGGCAACACACAGGGTGGGCTTTAGTGAACTGTGAACGTTTGTATGGGAAAGTAATGAATGAGTGAATGAAACATTGTTCATTTCCTCTGGGTGGAAAAAGGAGAGACAAAATTCAGCAACAGAGAACTAAAGAGGCACTGTCTATCTCTAAATATAGGATTGTAATGATCTTGTACAGCAACCATTTCTCATGTTGATATTTGCTTGACAGTGTTTTTAGTCAAACTGTGTCTTTCTTGGAAAGGAAGTGCATTAAAGTCTAACATTCTCCCTCCTTCTTGTGTCTCTTTCTCTCATCTTTCTCCTCCTGCAGAGCGACAGGCTTTTGATCAAAGGTGGGAGGATTGTGAACGATGACCAATCCTTCCATGCTGATATCTACATGGAGGATGGCCTTATTAAGTAAGTCCACTGCACTTTTTTTCCCCCATTTACTTCGATCTGCGTAATACATTTTTATTACATTTTTTCTGTCGAAATGTAGTTTTTGAAAGGTTATCTTTAACCTTTAATTTATAACTAGGGGGGATATAGAACATACATTTTAAATAAGCTAGATGTGTTTTTATTCATAAATAAAGAAACAGCTTCTAAAAGTATCTCCTTGCATATAGTTGCCTATAAATTACAAAGAAGACATCATTTTTGTTGTCTATGAAATCTTGCCTGGATGCTTATGAAGGATGATGGTTCAAGATGTAAAGCCACTGCAGCCAAAACGGAGGCTATGTTAAGTGTACCTCAATAAGATTTAACAACCACTCAAACATCCAATTTTTACCTTGGTTAACTTGAAAGATGAAAGTTAGAGAAGATTTGCCTTTTATTTTTAGGTTGTAAATGTTTTGTTCTCATTGCCATGGAGTTTAGTGAGAGAGTCTGCTAGGAAACCCTGGTGTTGCATTACAAACACCCTGTTGCTTCAAGCACAAGTTAGCTGCTGGCATAGAAACACTTGCTTCTGCCCACATGGATGTCTGGCTTGTCTCGTCTGCAAAGTTTGACCCACAGGAGGTTTCTTACGTTACGTTAAATAAGATATTGATATGACAACAAGTTTGTTCTTTGAAATCAGCCCACTTCACTTTTGATTTATTTGTAGAAGTGAATTATTTTTAACATATATTTTAATGTTTTCTTTTCCCAAATGGAAGATTGTTCTATGTACAAAAACATAATGTTAAGGAACCCTTTTTTATACTTTAAATTAGGACACATTTTCAATAGAAGTATCCTCCCTTATGTGTGACTCTAATTGATCCTTTTCACAGGCAGATTGGCGACAACCTGATTGTTCCAGGAGGTGTTAAGACCATCGATGCCAACGGGAAGATGGTGATCCCCGGCGGCATTGACATCCACACCCACTTCCAGATGCCATATCGTGGAACCACAACCGTGGATGACTTTGCTCAAGGATCAAAGGCTGCCCTCGCCGGAGGCACAACCATGATTGGTACGAGAGTTTTGGAACAGTCCTCTGCACGCTGTGACACTGACTGCAAGCAAATCCTTAATTATTATTCAGACAGAGAACGAAGTAAAAGAAGCTGTGGGTTGGCAGCCTGAACAGAGGACAAGAGAAAAGGAGGGACAGGGGAGGTGTTTTAGGCAACTCTCCAAAACAAAACTATACAAAAGACTGGGAAGGGTAGGGGGGCATGGGTGAAGGGTTGTAGATAGTAAAATGCTGCTCTCATGGAAACAGCATGACTATGCGTCTCAGGGTACGCATGATCTCTTGCGTGTAGCTGCATGTATATTAGAAATACATTAATAGTTTAAAAAGAATAAAAATGGCATGAGCTGATTTTTTTCCGGATGCTGCTCCATTGCCTGTTTGCCAGTCAAAAATATTATTGAGCTTAATTTACACAGAGGTCATTATATGCTGACATGTGAAAGTGGGAGTAAATGCTTCTTGTTTACCTTTTGTAAGTTATGTACATTATATATGCTTTATTTACATAATTTGTTTTTATCAATTATTTCTTGTTTAAAAGTTACTTAAAGGTTATGGTGACAGGAACTCAGTCCTGTGGCCAGTATTAACAATGCGTTGTTTACTGTTATGTGTATTAGTGACGGTCAGGTTTAGTTATATCCAATTGCAATAAAGAGATTAAAGTGTCTATAATAAGATTTAAAAAAGCTAGCCAGTTGCTGAGCCTGCAGAAGGAAATCTTTTAGTATTTCTTATAGGAGTTCTGAAGCTCACTCAGTGACACTGTAACACAAAGGAAAGCATTGATAATTAATATTTTTAATGGATAACCCTTGCAAAAATAAACCCAAAAACTAATTTGAAAAAGTATTATGTTTAAATACTTAACTTGTTAATAAGAAAATCAAATGATACATGTATAATTAATTTCCTGTTTGAATTTGCTGGTTCTTCTAGGCTCCTGTCAGTTCTAAATTTAGGGTGTTATGATTTCTCTTCAGAAGCTAAAATGACCAAGGTTTTAAAAATATTTCTCTGGCTTTTCTGCCTGCATTAATTATATGTTTCATGTATTTATGACCATTATTTACAAATAATTTTTCATCTAAAAGAAAAATGGAAAAAAATCAATGAATCAATTTAAAGTCAGCATCAGCCATGTGATTTTTTTTGGAGGACATGTCCCCTGCACTTTTTCAAATGTCCGATTTGGTGGCCTACACAATTTACTGCCAAAAACAACGTTACGCTACATTAAACAGACATTCGTCGAACACTAGGACCAAGTGGAAAACTGCAGCTCAAGCTGAAGTTCGCTTCCCTGAGTTTAGACCACCCACAAGCTCCTCATTGGTCCACCGTGTTTTCATGTGTGATTGGCTGTCACAGCTGTCTTTCCTGAGAAGCTCACTTTACAAACTTTACAAATCTGATGCGCCACTGAACTGGGTCTGTGGTTGGATGATCAAACACCCTTAAGTTAGTTGTATTAAAAAAATATTTGCGTCCCCAATTTCTAAAATCAAAATTTCATTAACCATGTCCGCTGAAAATTAGGTCACTTCAACAGAAAAACAGGGGAACGAACTAGAGCAAATAGAGGAATAAACATTTGATGAATTCAAACTGCATTATTTAGAAAAGATTACCTCAATAACATAAGTGGTTAGTGCTTCTTTAGTTATAATACTGTTTCAAAACAGAGTAAGTTTAATAGAATGCCAGTGCATTAAATCTAGATATGTTTTTTTTTAACTAATAAGAACAACTTATTTAAAAAAAAAAATCTAAAAATCATCCAATTATGATCAAGAACAGAGAATTAGGTGACCAGTGCCGCCAAAAGATCATGCAAAAAGTATTAATCATGGTGACATAACTAAACACAACAGGCCTCAAAATTTGCAAGGACATGTCTGCCCTAATCGGCAGAACTCACTGTGATATCTATTCATCCCAGCTGACAGTGTCTGAGTGCCGCAGGAATCCAGACAGCTGATTATGCAATGTAAACAACTTACAGGGAAAGTTACACAGCCAGCAGGAACGTTCACCTCACCTCAAACTTTCACTCCTCTGTCTGTCTGTTTTCATTAAAACTGTCGCCATCATCCCATTATTTTTGTGTATGATATTCTGCTTTCCAACCATCTGTATCCCTTTTCAATCAATAGTGGATCATGTGATCCCAGAGCCGGGCAGCAGCCTGATAGAGGCCTACGACCAATGGAGGCAGTGGGCTGATGAGAAGGCCTGCTGCGACTACTCTCTCCATGTGGACGTCACCCACTGGGATGACAGCGTAAAGCAGGAGTTGGATAACCTCATGAAGGAGAAAGGTAGGTCATAGTGGCACCAAATTACATCTGCAGTGTCCTCAATTCATACCTCTTTTTCACATGTTACCTCTTTGTTCCAACTTCTGATTTCACTCTTCCTTATCAGGATTAAATGCAGCAAATAAACACCAAATAATGCTTCATTGAGAAGATAAAGCTTTTATATGGCTTTCAGTTTTTTTCATTGATGCAAATCATAAATTTGTGGCATGATTTCCGCAGCATCAGAAAACTGATATTGGAGCATCATTGTGTCCGGAGGGTGATGTTTATAATGTACAGGGAAGGAGGCTAATTATGAAGGGAAGATGGATCATCAGCACATCTGCGCATGCGCAATCAGATATACATCTATGTTTCATTAAATAATGTAATTATGGTATTAAAAGTATTTATTTCTATCCTTAAAGCACCAAAGAATGCTAATACACATCTTTCAAAAATGTTTTATAACTTTTCTGAGACAATTTTGATGCTTTTTACATTTTCTCTGTTAGAATGCTTGTCTGATGTCATTATCAGACATGCTAAAATATGATTAAACAATGTTTATCTGCATTTTAGTTGTTTTTTTCTTTAGGTTGAACATTATATACCATAATCTTAAACCAGAAGAACAAAAAGTATGACTCAAAAAGACTAGATTAATGTTTAAATCCGAAGCCGAAAAAGTTAGCTCCCGGAAGTAGCGTAGGATTCCATTTCTGGTACAGATCGGGTAAAGACGACTGATAAAACAGAAAGTATTTTAAGGCATTTATTTTCTCAGAAAATAAATTTTTAACCTTCAAAACATTATAGTTTAATACACATACTATTTTTGGGGTGAGAAAAATATAATTTTGGTCTTTTTCACAAAATAATATTGAGGGTGACCTGGATGTATATCTGGCTGCGCATGCGCAAATGAGCTGATGGTACCGATTGTGCTTCCGGGGCGGATCGGGTCGTGACATTGGCCAAAGACTTTGGGTGGAGGTTCAGTTTCAAGCAGGAAATTAAACTAAACATACGGTTTAATGTGTTTAAAGAAATGCTCATTCATGTATCTGTGGTAACCTTTTGAAACACCTTTATAGAGACTTTGCTGCTTTGGACTTTCTGTAGTAGAATGTGCAAAACTCAAGCAGAGACATACTGTACCACATCCAGAGACAAGTTTGTGGTTGTAATGGGAAAAAATATATAGAGTAAAGAACCTTTAGGGTGTATGAATACTTCTATAAGCCACTCTCTGCTTATGATATTCCAAGTTGGATATTTCTAATAAGAACATAGTGATAAGAAGTTGCACCTTTAGAAGTAAAGAACTGGGTTTTTTTCTACCATATTGTGTATTTGCAGGTGTGAACTCATTCCAAGTTTACATGGCCTACAAGGATTATTATCAGATGAGCAACAGTGAGGTAAGAAGTCTTATTAAAAATGAAAAAAAAAACTCCAAAGTTCAGAAAGAAGTCCAGTGATTTCTCTTGGTGATTAAAGAGCCTCTCGTTTTGATCTTGTTTCTTCCCCTAAAACACTAATATTTACATTTTATCTTTAAATATTAAATAGTTTCAGTTCCCTGAAACAATGAGGATTGGGTCTTTTATTTACTGTCGTGATTAAAAGACACAATCCTGCATAACAACAAAATCTTGTTTCTTTTTTGCGTTTGTAAAATTTCTTAACTGGAATCAGTTCTAACCTCAGCTTTTGTCGAAATATGGAGACATTTTCCTACAAATTTATGATTCAAACATTACAAGAGCAAAATCCCACATGCTTCACTACATATCTATATCATGCAGTCAACTTGTTCAAGTAGGATAGCAAAAAAAAAAAAAAGATATGATAATGATAGTCTTATAATTATTGATAACTTAACCCCGACAGAATAATCATCTGTGAAACATCCCTTGTTTGTCCAAACTGTGGTCATGAGTACTATGACCCCCTTTGTCTGTATAAAAAAAGGTCCAGACAGTCTGAGCATGGACTCTGTGTTTCTCATGCACCCATGCAGCTAATTTTGTTTTCGGAATAGAGCAAGAGGGAATCTAAATAGCAGAGTTTGAAAAACTGATGTCATGTACCTCTCTGAGGGACTGTGGTACAACAGTTTATATATAAACCGTAGCTCATTCCACTCCAGATTTGCCATTTCTAAGACCACACATGATAATTGCAGTGTAGGTCCTGGTGACTTCAAGTAAATTGTTGGCCTCTTTGTAATTGGGGCTTATAAGCAGCCACTGAGTTACAAAGTCCTGTCTTCATCTTGTCTTAATAGCTCAGCTTCATTTCAACAGTTGAAAGAAAAGTATTTTCTTTTCCATGCAGCTCTATGAGGTCTTTACCTTTCTGGCAGAGAGGGGAGGGATCGCCCAGATCCATGCTGAAAATGGCGAGATCATTGCTAAGGTAACAATAAAAAAATCTTGATCTTCTTCTTAAAACTTGTGACATCTTCACCTGTGTGATCTGTTTAAGTTTAAAGAGATTTATTCTGTTTAACTTATCATCACTGACCTTTCTTAACCTTCCCATGCTCTATATTCGGACTAAAAGCACTGCCTTTGATGACTGCATTTCCTGTTGGATAGTAATGTGTAGGTGTAGTTTATACAAGGGTGTTCTGCATGAGGTCAAAAGATAGTGAATCAACTGTTATACTTGATGGATTTAGGTAGTCGCTATTATTCAGAACTGCGGGTCAAGCCTGGATTCTATCACTATAAGTGCATTTTGGATCTGATTCATGATAAATCTTATCCACTGTTTGAAACTTGGACTTGAAAGGAGTCTGATTTTCATCAGCTGTAAGACCACAACCTGGTTGAACTAAAATACTATATCTCGGCCTGTCGTTCCATGCATAACAACAGATATACATTTTATACTGATTCAATGACTGGATAGATTTTTATGCTTGTTTTATTAAGACTTCAATTTTAGAGAAGAGAAAGGAGTAAAAAAAATCCCACAAACAGCGGAAAGCTAAGAGTACTTTATATAAACCCCATATAGACATTTTTAATTCAAATCACCATCCATCCATCAGTCCACTTTCTATACCAACATTTCTGCCAGGGTCATACACCCTGCAGATCCCCAGCATATCGCATAAACTGATAATTCTAGGATTCAAGGATTTTTGTCATACTAAGTCATCCACTGCAAAATTTGAAATCTAAGTCAGTTTTACTGAAAATAGGTGCATTTTTCGTTGAAGGTAAGTTAAACCCTTAGCAGATGGAATAAGAAAATTTACATTTAAAATGAGAGAAAAACAACTGCTGTCTCTTATTTCAAGAGCATAATATCTAATTATCTTATTTTAAGGCTAAACATTCTCATTTCACAGGCAGATTATCATTTTTACATGCTCAAATTAACTTTCTTTTAACAATTTTTTATATCATTTTTGCAGTGTATTCGTATGTCTGTGGTACAAAAGTTGGACTCAACTCCCTGTTCAATAAGCTTAGTGTTTCAGAAAAGAAAGAAATAGATGAAGCTGAGTTAAGTGTAGCTGAAATTCAGTAGTCTAACAGCTGCAGTGCTGAAAGTGTTTTTGAGCCCATTGGTCTCATTCTTGATCCTCCTCAGCCGCCTTCCTAAGCCCTTTAACTGGGCTCATCTCTGTGAGATGCACTACTTTATTTTTGTGAGTTAATATTTGGAACTTGGGGCTTGCCATGTATCTAAATAGATGTTAGGATTTTGTATTAAAATACATCATTCCTACTTTTTATTAACTCGCTTTTTTTTCTAGAAAAATAATTCCAGCTGACTCATTGCCAAATGAGCAGGCAGATTCGTACTACATCAATACTCCCAAATTCAGACTACTTATGTGAATGCTTCAGTGTTAAATGCTTATTTTAAATATGCCTCCAAATTTCACCAATTTGAGCTTAAGTACTTAATGAATTTCTCCCTATTAACCCAAACATTAAAGTGTAAAAGTTTTCAATGTTTCTTGATTTCAAAATACCCATTTGAAAACATCAGGCTTTCCAATATCTATTATCTTTGCATTCCTAAAAAAAAAAAAAAATCAGCAGTACAGACATTATAAACATGTTTAAAGTTGGGATTTTACCCTGCATTCCAAAATCTTTCTTTAGGTATGGGATCCTTATGTCCTGGCTTTTCCCATTTCAGGGCTAATTTTTTACTATTGGCTATGAAGGGGCCAACAGTTTCATGCATTGCAAAGCAAAACTCCTGCATGTGTGGAGGCCCTCAGGGGCAGATTCCTATAGATAAGAGCATTTAGCCTGACTGAGAAAAAGGAAAAAAACCCTTGTCCGTGAGCTTAATGAAAAAAGACACAGTGAGAAGCAGATTATTATTCATGAGTGTGACCACAAACCTACATCTGCTGAAGCTTTCACAACACTGAGAAGGAGAGATTAAGCATGCGATGGAGGATATCACTGAACTGTGCTGCTTTTTTTTGGGTGTTCAACAGGAGCAGGCCCGGATGCTGCAGACGGGTATCACTGGACCGGAGGGGCATGTACTGAGCAGGCCAGAGGAGGTACATGCTTCACTTTACCACCTGATAACAATTAATCAAAAATAATCAGATTGTGAAATGAAAAAATGCTGTTTGTTGTATTAAAATGTGTTTAAGCACATTGTCTCATGAGCTGGAATCATGCATATTGTTTTTGTTTTTTTTTTAACGCACATTTGGTTTCAGTCACATTAGAGCTCCCAGGGGAAGATTTTTTTTAATTTTCACCAGTTATTGCCTCTAAACCATTGTGCTAAATCAAAAGGCCACATTTTCAGCTGAATGGCTTTTGGCTGTCTTGTTTTTTCACTTACTGAGATTAAAATCTCGGTAAACTTGATTTTAGGACAACCGAAGCCAAGCCGGATCATATCTGTCAACACTGTTCGAATGAGTCAGATGACATTTTTTTGTTGTCATATTTTGGTTAGTGTATCCAAACTGAGCTTGCTGACAGGAACACAATAAACAGCTGAAGTGTTTACAGCCCTGTTTTAGAGTACACAACAGCTGTAGGATAGATCTACTGCTTTTTTTACCATTCTGACCCAAAGCTTATTGTCACAGGAGTGAAGATAAAAATAGATATAAAGACAAACAACAATTGGATAAAAAAAAATACAAAAATTGTGTTCTACTTTTAGGTGACATTGCTTTTGAAGTCTTTGATGTGGCATAATAGAAGAACGTGGTGCTCAACTGATTCTATTTAACTACGTTTCAACATTTGTGTGCTGCTTTTATTAAGTTTGTTTCTAAGAAATTCAATTTGGTGCCGAGAGAGCATCAACAACGTTTCCAGAAAATATTGTGCAGTTCAGGCATTTTCTGCTCCAATCCTCACAAGTTGATATCCTTGATGTTTTAGAGGTTTGGTCTGACACAATAGAAAGAAGTCAGACAAATAATCCTTTAAAAGGCTCATTTGAATCACCTTTGCTGGAGGGAATAAGCTCATGTTGGCAACCACTGGTTAGAGGATTAAAATCTCTTAACCTCTATATTTTGTCAACCTCTATATTTTGTCACAGAACTGTGTCAGGAAGTTAGGTTACCAGGAGAAAACCCACTCATGCATCAAGGACTTTTGCACCAAGCAGCATGGCAACCAGCTTCCACTTTGCCAACACTTTTTTTAATGTTTAATTAAAACCCATTTACACTTGTACTCTGATTTATTAGCAGAAATCCATGTTCTGTAAAGGCATACCAGTTTTATTGTGTAAAGGAAGGAACATTGCTACTTGTTCAGGTGGTAAACCTATTATCTGAAAATGTCTGTCTATTTAAACTGACAGGCAAGGGAAGGAGAGCATTAATCTAAGTGGTAGTCAAGTATATGTGAGAAAGGTCAAGTCAAATTCCAGACTCAATTGCAATGGAACATTAAGGTTATGTATACATAAATGCAATTCCAAGCCACTGCATGCGCTCCTGCTATGGTTTTCTTAGAGGGTAATAATTCAAATAATCTTGTCTTGACAGACAGTACATCTTTTGATATTTCCAGTAATCTGTCTTTTTCTATCGCTTTGTGATTTTACTTCCTCTGCAGCTGGAAGCTGAGGCCGTGTTCCGAGCCGTAACCATTGCCAGCCAGACCAACTGTCCTCTCTACGTAACCCGTGTCATGAGCAAGAGTGCTGCTGACATCATTTCGCAGGCCCGAAAAAAAGGTATTGAGAAGAGTTTGAAACAAAACGGGGAATTTGCATTGAATTAACAGCAGGTTGATAGCAAAAGGCATTTAAACTGTTGCTGTTTATTTAAGGGTATAGTGTAGGATGTTCTGGTATTCTGGTTATATGTTTACATAAGGCCGTCCTACGTGTTTGACCCCATTTTCACCTACCGGTGGTGAGTCTGACATTGTGAAAGAACTGCAAATCTTCTTTTAGAAATTAAGCTTATATGAGGGATGCAAACAGCAACATTTGAACAGAGCGTGCACAAGGAGAAATGTGTTTGTGCATGCTCTCACACACTTTTAATTCGCATTCCCTCACGGGGGCGGGTACAGGGTTGTGCACGACATTTTTCTTTACAAATGGAGAGAGTGGATCTTTTTTTTTAAACTTCGCAAAAATCCTCCATTATACCTTTGAGGACTGAGTTTTTGTTTTAATCATAAATTGAAAAATAACAGATTATCAGAGTGGGATGTGAAACTCTGTGGGGACGCAAAAGAGGAAGGCTCATTTGTTTTGTTTGGCTAAATGAGATAAAGCTATGCTAATATTGCGTTGCATTCTTTCATGTTTATATGCATTCCCTGGCTGGTTTCATAGATGAAAACCTTTTGTTTGGATCTATTCCCAACCTCCTTTTGTATAAATCAGAAAAACCTGAATCATTAACATTTGCATCAAAAGCAAAGGACTGGAAAAAAATCCAAGAGAAAAAACTATTTATAAGAATCAATTCTCCATCATCATTCAAACTTAACAAGAAGTACAATTTTAAGATAGTAGTAAAAATACCAAAATCCTTATTAATTGAGATTATTAAGTAAAGTGTATCCGTAAAAATCATAATCATAATATTCATAATCGTAAAGATATTCTGAAGGTGTTTTAATCATTTTTATGGTGATCTTTTTCAGGAAATGTGGTGTTTGGGGAGCCAATCACAGCCAGTCTAGGGACTGATGGAACACATTACTGGAGCAAGAACTGGGCCAAGGCTGCTTCTTTTGTTACATCACCTCCTCTCAGCCCTGATCCTACTACCCCAGACTATTTGAACACACTGCTGGCAAGGTGAGTCACACAGCAAGACTCTCTGGTTTACGAGTGCATCTCAAAAGAATTGTATTACCAAATGTTAATATTTTTTATTAATTCAGCTCCTACTTTGAGGATTTATTGCAGAAGTGTAAAAAAATTCAACAGCTTATTTCTGTTTATGGTTTAGAGTTACTTAGCACTAAGTAACAGTCCAGTCTTTTTTTTTACTAATAGACCACATATAGTTTTTGTGAATGGCTACAGTTGTTTTGAGTGAAGGAGCTCCTGAAACATTGACCCCAGCTGTAGTTCTACAACCGCTGATTCATCATCTGTAGCAATCCTCTAAAGTTCAACTTTTCTAACTTTTTATTAATGTTCACTTATACAGCACTCCTCAAGCTAATCATTTTACCAGTTAAATGTGTGCCCCAGTCTCCTTATCTGCTTTATAATAGTCAAATCGACTTTGAAACATAACATTTTTGTATTAAAAATCATCCGTATTGAGTTTATTGAAAAAGTGAATTTCAGGTTTTTATTTGAACACATCAAATTTAGAACTTCAAAAAATATAAATGCTGCTTAATATTTTGAGCTGGATCTGAAATTGGTGATATCAATTTTCCTTAGAACTTTGCAAGGAACATTTGTCTTTGTTATTTTCCATGTTGGATACTTATATTTTGCCAGACTGATAATTCTTAAAAGAAAATTAGATAATTTCTCTGACAATGTGTCTTCCTCTGCTCCTCGTATTGCGGTGTCCTGCAGATCACAGCTATATATATTTATCCCACTTGTTATAATTAGAAAACATGGACTTTGATTTTACTTTTATGCATGACTTACAGATCTAAATCTCTTCAGAAAAAAAGAAAAACCTTACTGTCTGTCCTAATGTCTTGAATACCTTTAGGGATTAATGGTGCTAAACCTTCTAAAATCTGATAAAACATTATAAGAATATGGTTTTTGGTAACCTGAGACCCCATTTGTTTTTAGACTCCTTGACCCAGGATAAAAAATCTTTAATGCCTTCAGCGTGCTTGTCGACTCTTTGGCCAAGTATAGTGAGCCAGTTGTCACTAACCTGGGGGTTAAAGTAGACCCTGATTTTAGATTTGTTAAATGGTAAATGGTAAATGGCATGTACTTATATAGCGCCTTTATTCAAGTTAGGAGACTTGACCAAAGCGCTTTACACTACATTCATTCACCCATTCACACACACATTCACACACTGATGGTGGCAAGCTACATTGTAGCCACAGCTGCCCTGGGGCTCACTGACAGATTAAGGCATTTATTTCATTAAGACTTCCAGAAGAAACACCTTGCTAGAATGGAGCCATTTATTTTCCTAAGCATCAGTTTAAAACAGTAATAACACAGTTGTTACCATTTGGCTGGATTGCAAATTGAACTCTTTCAATGACCACTTTTCTTTTGGAATTCATTTTAAACTTATTGTAGTAGTTGCAGCCCTATACACTTAGCCTACTCTCTGGGCAGCAAGTTAGCAGCTCTTAGTGTACATGGGAATAATTTTACGTTTAAAGGAGACCATGGCTTTGCTGTAGCAGCCAAATGTGGAATCATCTGCCCTCGATTTTGGGAGCTCTAGCTAGATTATCACTCTTTTGGGAGCTGTTTTCGGCAGGGGCAAACCGGGCAGCAAATCAGGGTGGGATTTTTCTCATGACTCATAATAGGGGAAATAACCTAAAAATGATCTTGCCCAAAAACACGATTTACTATTATTATATTATAATGTGGGGAGTAGGCACTCTTTGCAGCTGCTGGTGCCCTCCTTGCTTTGAGAAGATGCTGCAGCCATGCATACTGCAGATAGGTTAACAGGCTGTAGACAATGTAAAAAATGGGTATGCACTATGCGGCTCTTAGGGGCACAGTGCTAAAGTTGGTGAAAAGTGATTGTGGCAAAATGCAGAGAGAATGAAGAGGGAGAAACATCAGGATATATAAAGCGGGGCATACACTGTACGATTTTTTTTTGCACTTTTCAGGACGATACTCCAGTCGTGCAAGAAATTTTTAGATCGGGGCGAATTTCAGCCTCATCGTGTGTCCTGTGTCGTGTGGTATACAGGGGGTAATGAGGGACGATCAGCTTCTCACGACCACCTTCAGATCAGGAATCATAAGGTTGGGAGACAATCAAACATACTTGAACTTAGGTTGACCGTCGTAAGGTGTTTGTGGGCAAATTTTTCTGTTGAAGCAGAGCTACGAGCGTCTGAGCCGATTTACCAGAACCTCGAGCACTGTGCATGGGCAAAAATGGGAGTTCTTCTTCTTCCAGATTGACCAGTCTGACCAGCGTCATTTCTCTGTGCTGAGTCCAGCCTGTGGTTTTTGGATGTGCAGTATGAGAAGGTAGATAACATTAGAGCGTAGGGCCGTACAGTGTGCGAACATACATTGTGAGCCATGAACTTTTAAACTCTAGTTTCGTCGCACAGTTTGACCTGTAGCTGCGCACAGCAATTCAAAATATCGCACAGTGTATGCCCGGCTTAAGAGATTAAAAAAAATTTAAAAAATTGAAGTGGTTGAATGACAGCAGGTAAGTTACTGTATGTAGGTGTGTTAAGATGAGGCTTCTTTATACTTTGCATAAAGTAAAATGACTGTTAGTCTTGCAGCTGTGCACTGTATGTATAAAGTAACAGATTATGATAATCATTTATGTAAATTTAAATATATTAAGAGGATGTGTAAAATATGTATAAGTACAATGCTTGTTTTAAAAGGCAAAAGGCTGCAGATTGCACAGATGAAGTCAGCATGGGCATCTGCTATAGATGAGACCAGAGATGACAATGGGTAGGAAGAATGAAACTAGTGAGACTACAAAATGCCTATTAGAGATGCCCAGTATAGTTTGAATTTAAACTGACCAACACTTTACTTTGTCTGTTTTGGGACAATAATTGTGAGCAGACATAGCAAGTAAAAGTAAGCCTACTGAACTAAAAAAAGGTTTTTCATGTACATGTTCTCACGACCAGAACCACCTCTGCACCCTTTGATACGTCATAGATGCTGGTTTACTCATTTTTCTTTCTTTCTTTCTTGAATTTATGCTGATTTATATTACTCTCTTATATCACTTTCATTTTGTGTATTCTGTTTTTTTTTCTTCATAATTTTGCATTCTTGTTTCTAATTTGTTTCAACTGTAAAACAATTTGTTGGTTGTTTTGAAATCCTTTGCAAAACAATGCGGATTTTGATGATTTACCAAAAACCAAAAATCAACCAATGTCAATTTTAAAGCTTCTAAATTCCAAAAAACATCATCTATATGTAACCCCTGTGACTGGCCTTGGTTTTCATTACTGTCTCAGTATTAATATTTCTTAGTGTCAGCAGGCTGCATGGGTACTTGCATTTTAACTTCCCCTTTAAATAAAACTCAATTGCTCATGACTTGTTTATAACTGTTGCTACCTAGCAAGTAGTTTTGGAAAAACTTACACAGAAACAGGAAACGCTGCAAATGTTTTTTTCTCCTGGAAGAACAAACTTTGGCACGCAGCTTACTACTTCTCCTGCAAAGATAAATAATCACATTTCCGTGTGTTTGCAAAGCTTTGCTTATGTGAGCAAACTTCTCACGTCATACTTTGCTCTCTCCTCACAGTGGAGACCTCAGTGTGACTGGCAGCGCTCACTGTACCTTCAGCGTGGCGCAGAAGGCCATTGGCAAGGATGACTTCACTCAGATCCCGGAAGGAGTCAATGGAGTAGAGGAGAGGATGGCGCTCATCTGGGATAAAGCAGTGGTGAGGCCTAGTTTCTGGTATTAAACTTCTGAAACAATAACAGTCAGCCCGTCCAGGTTCTCTGAGAGAACCTTGGCTATGAAAGACGTAGTGGGGAAGGGTATGCCACTGATGGGCCTGCGGGTGAAGTTAAATCTTTTTAATCTGAGGTTAAGGAGGGAAATGCTCTGGTTCTGTGTTACCTGGATGATTTGCTGACCTGTCACCAGTGCAGGGCTCTGTTGGTGGGTCTGTCTGCTTTGCACGCAGCACGTTTCATGTGGAGACATTGACGTGTGTGTGTGTCATTGCCCCCCTGAAACCATAAGAAAAAAAAAAAGAAGAGACACACCAGGTCTTTTAAATGATCTATTTGTTTTTCTTTTGTTAAAATCTTGTACAGTACATTGTGACAAAACATATTTTAACACACCAGCAGACAAAGTAGTACTAGCTTTTTTTCCTTTTTTTTGTACTGTCAGTAAAATTTCTACATGTCACCAGATAATTTTTTATACTTTGATTAGAATACAGTGTTAAAAAAAAAAAAAAAAACTAACAACTTCTGAGCTACTTTCTCTTCTTACTTTACCTTTTCTGTATAAGCAGAACAATGAGATCTAAATATATGCATTTATCTTTGATCTGTAGCCCCCGGGATATGTCTGTAACAGTCCCATTTATCTGGAAGTCTATTTTTATGTTGTTTTCTTTTATTCAGACTACCGGTAAGATGGATGAGAACGTGTTCGTGGCCGTTACCAGCACTAATGCTGCTAAGATCCTGAACCTTTACCCTCGCAAGGGTAGGATTGCAGTGGGTTCTGATGCTGACCTCGTCATCTGGGACACAGACTCTGTTCGCACAATCACTGCCAAGACTCACAACTCGGTATGTATACAGGTCAAAGCCATGGATGCTTTCAGTTTGTTTTTTCTTTAAACTCATTTTTATTTTCATAATTTTCCCTACCTTTGAATAAAAACTTTTTTTTACACATTCAAATTCTGTAATTGACTTACTTCAATAATTAAAGAACCTTAGAGAAAAACATCAAAACTGTAAATTTGCTAGCTAGGACATGCTTGGGAAAACAGCAAGCGGTAATATGTGACATGTGTCTACATCTGTGTGCGCAGGATAGTATGTCAGGCAGAGAAAAGCAGATTTTTGAACAGCTTCCAGGGCACTCTTAGTTCCCCTGAGCGGAAATGAAATCTCAGTGGATGTTCATGACTATTTCCACTCACACTGCTTGTCGCAAGACCACCTTTTATTGTAAAGCTGAGCCTCTGTAAATCCAAAAATGGCTCAGCAGTGACAGTGATGACTGAGGAAAACCAAATAAATTATTGAAATAAATGTTCCAAAATCTAATCTGTGGTTGAACAAGAGCAGATTAAGCAGGGATATGATCCATGAGATGTTTGATCCAGGATTTATTTTTACCCGAGTGGATTAAAAAAGAAAATATCTATAACTATAGAACTAGACGTATAGAACTTAACATAGGATGTTTTGATTAGGTTATTTTTTCCCCCTTACAGATTCCAGTTGTTGAGTAACAGACTATGTATATGCGAGAAAAATCTGCTTTTAAGTTATGTGGAAACAGCAGAACCTTATCAGTATAACATAACTCACCACTGATGTACCAAATATTTCTGCTTCCACTGACCTTTAGATGTCTTCTCATAACAGGAAAAGGCAGTCAGAAAAATGCTGTATACAAACAGGCTAGTTTATCTCTTTTATTTTATGTTCTCTATATTTTCATGTAGCTCTTTCATGATATATACATTCTTATAAAGTATTTTTCCATATGGAAGTTAGAGTAGATTGAGGAAAATATTTGTTGGTAAAGAAACTTGATTTTTTAAAACAAAAAACTATGTACATCCTATTATAATACTGTTGAAAATTAAACACGCACATGAAAATATGAAATGTGTTTGTACTGGGTCAGTTTTGTATCAGTAACATAAATATATCTAATTTGTCTGCACCATCAACACCAAGTCAAATTCCTCGTAAGTGCAAACCTACTCGGCAATAAATCTGATTCTGAATTGTTTAACAATACATTGATTGAAAAGTTGCTACGGTAAATTGACCCCAATACTATGCTAAAAATTGCTAAAATGCTAAAAATTGTTTATTCACTTTTTTACTTTTTTCTTAAATGTTTTCATGTAATGTTTCTAGAGATTTAAGGGGGGAAATGATTACCTATATTTAGATGAATATTATCCAATGTATTTAAAAAAACAACAACAAAGAAACAGAAGAAAATGTCTGTTGTGCAATGTAGTTCAAAGTGGAATTAGTAAGTCTAACTTTTGTTTCATCTCATGAAGTAATGGTAGAGAGATTTCTTTTCAACCAAAACCAGGTATTAAATACCATCTGAAATTGAGCAGGGTTTGAATTCCATTTTATATTCCACATATTATCCACCTGGCACATTTAAGAAATTAAGTTTCAGATGCATATATATACATAAGAGGATTGCACATAGGTGACTCAACAGTGCAGGAAATTAAAACTTCAGCAGCCAAAGGCATATCCTACTTTTATGGATGAGCATGAGTTCAGGATGAAGACATTTGTTAAAATTCTGTATAACTGAAATGAATAGGTTCTTGTTTGATAAGGATTAACTGGTGTGAAAGGACACTTTCCTCTTGATGCTGAAACTAAGTGAGACAGAGGGGAGGACTCTCCATTTTCTAAAAATATGGAGTCCATCCACTGAGGATTTGTGGGTTCTTACATGGTGATGTCACCTTTCTCTTTCCTGCTAGTTGTCCCTTCAGTTAAAACAAGAACACTGCAGCTATTACTGCTAAAAACATTACCATAGCAACTTGGCAAAATATGAATGCCCCCAGTTACCAGCCCATTGTATTGGAAAAGTACCTTTTTTACACTGGGCTGTCTCATAGTTTATCAATTTGCCTGCATCTGGTTTGGATTGATTGCTGTTGTCAATGTAAAAAGGGGATTTCTGGATACATACACGAGAAGTGGACTCAACACAAACACTAAAACACACTCGGCTTAGTCATGACATCATATTTGGCATGCAGGGAGCCTTAGTTATGTCCTGTTCTGGCCTGAAATTGGACAGCAGCAAAAAAGGGGGGCTGGGGGGTGGTTTGGTTGTCCGTGTGCAGAGGAAATATGTAACAATAGAACAAGAGGGGGGAACCATCAGAGATCACAGACACACTGGGAACGCAGAGTTGGTGTTAAATGGATTGGAGAAGATGAGAAATATGTAAGGAAGAAAAGAGGGGAGAAGTGTGTAGAAAAAGTGTAGAAAAAAAGAAAAATTGTGAAATAATTATAAAAGAGAAACCTGAACAAAGTTAGAAGGCCAGATAGAGAAACAAGTGTGCAGATGTTTCATCTTTTTCACATGTGTCATAGTTCATTTATAAAATCCATCTTCTACCTTTCCTTGTGTGTTTAAGGCCGCTGAGTACAATGTCTTTGAGGGCATGGAGCTGCGTGGTGCCCCGCTGGTGGTGATATGCCAGGGGAAGATTGTGCTGGAAGATGGAAACCTCCATGTCACCTCCGGAGTGGGACGTTTTATTCCCTGCTCTCCCTTCCCTGATTTTGCTTACAAGCGCATTAAAGCCAGGAAGCAGGTGAATAACAGCTTTTCATTTTTTCTAAAGCCAAAAATCCATTACACATTTTCAACGCATGCTGATAGTAAACGTCAACTAAAATGTATATAACTGCCATTCAATTCAAATTCAAAATTAAAAATTTAGAATTGTTTTAACTCATCAGATTTTTTTCAACCAGTTGCTATAGCTGTTGATAACCTTTGACAGAAAAAGACCCTCTGTAGTGGTCTGTCTTGTACGCGATCTGGAAAAGTTGTTGTTTAACAATCTGATGAAGAGGATGCTCATTGTTATCCATAATGTCCCTCACTTTATGAATAGTTCTTCTTTGTGAAATAAGTTCCAGAGGTTCTAGAGGAGTTCCTAGAACAGAGTCATCCTTCTTTATCAGCATTTGCTCTAATGCTGTTACCCCAGCAGATGGTGGTTTAACAACCTTCTTGCAGATACAGTATGCAGCATCTTGCTGCCAATGCTAAATTAGCTAAACTTCCATAAGTAGTACAGTCTGCTCTGTCCCTTCTTGTAGATGGATTCAGAGTTGTGTATTCAGTCAGAATAATGTTATTTTGTAATTATGTCTCCCTAAAAAGTTCTAGGTACTACCTATATATCACCTGGTTGCTTGGGGATTAAACCAGAGAAATACTGTCATGATGCCTTAGCAGAAATGAAACCATTTTCCTTTAGATAAGATTGAGATTGAGAATCATTCAGGAACGGATGAAGATGCTGAAAAGCAAACCATGGTGGGAAGTATTCTGATGCTACGGACCTGTTTCCCTTTCATAGGCTTGTTACCTGTTATCGGGAAACAAAAGGTCTCAGTCTAATTTAACAAGAACCAGATAACTGGTCCTCCTTCAAGAAGCATATTTTAATTCTTGCAAGGCAGAACGGAAGCAGTTTTGTTGCCAATGTCCTGTCTGTTGTGGTCTGATAAAGGGTTGCACTTAGTACTAAACACTCAAGAGAAAACTGGAAGGGTTTTTACCTAGAGCTTCATCAAAACAACTTACAGACAGTTTAGGACAAACAGGGGCATATTGCATAACCTTGGATCTTAAGGAGTCTGGCTCCCTTTCCTAAACCTCTCAAACTGGAAAACAGCTTCTCATCAGAGAAGAAGCCTTTAGGCCTAGCCTTGTCTAGCAGGTGTGCAGTCTGAGCCAATATTGTGGAATATAGAAAAACAAAATGAGCTCACATTAAGGTTTTAAAATGGAGGAAGAGATAGGAAATAATTTGTCCCACCACACATCCCTAGAGAGCATATCGTAAATCTTTGAAGTGAAGTGAAGTTATTTCCTCATACTTCAAGCATTCCTCACTTCGCTGGTCATCTGACTCTCTTCATGCACACTGGGAGTCAGAAACTTTTATAAATCTTTGAAGTAATATCTAAGCCTAGACAAAAAAAAACATCGGCCGCCACTAAACCCATGTTTATCTCCTCGTTATTCATCTGTGGATGATATTAACAGGGGGAAAAAAAGATCTCCAAAGTTGCAGAAAAGAACTGAAGAATATTTTTCTTCTTCTTTTATCCATGTTAATAATCTTACATTTTTGTGAAACTATTCTGCAGCAGTAGAATATAGATTTACTGTATGTTAAGGCTTTTTTTACATCTCTACTCAGGGTGCAAATTCACATGTTTGAGTCAATTTAAAAAGCATATTTTGAATCAAATTTAGATTTGAACAAGTTAAGCTACAGTTAAGCTTACTGAAAATGTATATGAGTTGCAGAATGTAAACTGGAGAAACAATTCTTCACTGCTCCAATAAAAAGAGAGAACTGTAGAAAAATAAGGAAGTTAGGAGGTACAAATTGTTTACCTTTTAAAATAAGGGTAGAAAATAAAATCTAGCTGGAATGCCTGGGATACAGTTGGTCTGAGGTCATAAGAAAAAGTTCAGCAATGGTGTCATTTTACATCTCCAGGTCAGTTAAAGCGTTATTATTGGTTTTAAAAGGAGATTAAAAGCTTTCTGTGACTCCTTAAAATTGATTTCTGACAGATTAAGGATCATGTTCACCTCCTGAAATTGCTCTGAAATGCAATGTCAGTGATTTGTGGTTGATTCTTATCTTCGATTGGTTTGAAGCCTTGATCTTCCATTTTGTGGTTCTAGTGGGTTCAGATTTCCCTCTAAGAGGTTAATTTACCATTGTTTAAAACACTTGTAATGTAACCTAATTTATTTTAGCAGCAGATGTGAGATGAGGTTACACATTTTGTTTGAAAGAGTAGCCCTGGATTAGGGTTTAACTAATCTAAAAGAAAACAAATAGAGTTGTAGTAGGGAGTTCACATAAAAATACAATTAATCTTTCCTTAACTGTGGAGTTTTCAAAAAGTTGCAAACATGATCAAATTTTACACACTCCAAGATAGGTGAAGTCTAAAGCACAAATGCGGGCCGTGTTTCAGTGGAGCAGTAGTTAGCGCGTAGGTCGCGCGCATGACCCATATGCTTAGTCCTTAGTTCTCGATTTCGTTGCCTTGTACCTGTACCTGTGTAATGACCATAAAGTTGAATCTAATCTAATCTAATTCTTGGCCACATGTTACCCCTCCCACACCTATGCATACTCTCTCATACCCCCTTTCCTGTCAGCCAACTGTCCAAAAATAAACAAAATCTAGCCACTAGTGCCGTAAAAACCTAAAAAAAATTAATTAATTAAATTTCAAAAGCATTACAGGCTAACCTTACTGTAATTTGTTGAACCGTCCGTGGTCAGTTTGCATCTTTATCAACTCAATAAAATGTCCCAGAAAAACATTGAGCCTTCAAAAAATGTAACAAATAGAGAAAACTTTGCTCTCCCTCCCTTTCGGAAAGTGAAACTTCATTACACATGGAATGAAGGAAATCTAAATTTTTTCCAGTTGTAAAAATTATAAAATGAGACCCAAAATTCTGTGTCTCAGAAACTAAAGGAAGAAATCTTAAACAGGGATGTCAGGCTTCTGAAAGATAAGTTTATTTCTTTGATTTCAATGAGCCTTTTGCTTGAAATGCTGCAGCAATGTTTTATGGCACTGCGTACAGTAGTTGTGATGGAGGCCCAAATGTTTTTTTTTAGAAGCCTTCAGGTTATTCCAAATTTGCCTGTGGTGTCTCTCATCTACTGCTTGACATAACATTATCATGTCTTGTTGCGTTTGTTTAATGTTATTACTTTGTGTACAGCACATTGGTCTTGTGGGTGTTCTATGTTCTATATAAATGAAGCTGGTATGGTATGGCATATACCCCATGGTGTTTTCTATCACTAAAGCAGCTTTAGGTACATTTAGCAGAATGGGAAATGTGCCAAATCCAGATTGCAAAAAATAAAATGAGTTCTCCTTGAAGCTCCACAGCAGAAGGAAAAATGGTTTTATCTCTAATGTCCAGTTAGATTGCTGCATTGCCTCTGGAATTCACAAAACATGTTGGACCAACATTAGCAGATAGCATTACCTCCTAAATCATGAGTTACTTTGGAAAATTCACATTGTACTTTAAAGTTTAAACAAAGTATATTATGTGACTCTTCCTCCAGACTCCGGAGAAAACTTGTTAAGTTTCGAAACATTAATTTAAAAACATTAAATCCCTCTATTGTATTTGCCATTTTCTCTTGAATGAACAGAGATGCATAAATATTCATTTTAAACAAGGAAGAAAAATCTTGTTGATAACATAAGATACACAGAGTTACCAAACAGGGTCAGAGTAAAAGTCATTTTCCTTCATTTCAAAATGAAATGCAGACTTCATTTGAAAACAGGCTTTATGCAACAGTTCAATTCTTTCTTCTGCTTGTCTGAGATTGTCTGTGATTCAGCAGTGGCTAAACACAAGGAATGAGAACATTGTCACCAATGTGCAGGATTTACCTGTGCTTAGTGGCTAGTAGCCTCAGTCCACAAGGTTTTTGAATGCATTTTTTCACAACAATTTCAAGACATTTAGTGTATTCTTTCCTAAAACAATATTTTCTTCCACCGAATTTCCAATGAATTTGCTTTGATATGGCACTTCATGAGCAGCCTGTTTCTTAAGCAATGACCTTTTGAGGCCTATGTTCATTGTGCAACACTCTTTCATATTGCTTATAAAATATTCCATTGCAAAACATGTATACATCCAAATGTACTCCAATTTTCTTAAACACTGGAGGTTTTCAATTTAAGAATCAAAATTACAAATAATAGAGTGAAATATTACACTCTTAAAAATGAGTCTATGTAACTATAGGTTTCACTTAATGAAAAAATGTCCAAAAATATGAAAACATTTTAATATATTCTCATTTGTGAAGATTTAACTTTAAGTGTTTTATGACAGTCAGTATATTTTAACTGGAATTTGAACAAACTGTGAAAGTAGAAAATGAACTTTGAAAATCTTCGTATAGCTTTTATACATCACCTGGCTTCCTTTTTCAGCACCTGAATAATATTGATATAGCTGACACCTCACTGTTAACAATATACTCAATCGAGATTGTTGATTTCAGCACAACCTACTAGTGATTGTGTTAGCCTTTTCACTGTTCACATTTACCTTTTAGCCAAATTCAAGCTGAAAAGTTGCGGATTCTGGTCACTATTTGGGTTATAAGACATACAGATAGTGTGCACACAAATATGCGTGTATATATTGCGTGCAGTAGTCATCTGTTGTCATTTACAGCAGTGTAGGATTTATTTATTTTTCTCTGAATAGCTGCAAATTAATTAAAGAGTTGTAGAAGAGTAGCAACGACAATAAATAAAGCCTAAGCACGCTTAAACAGCTTAAGTTGAATAATCTTATACCAAGCAAAGTCTGTTTTGCGTTTTCATGCGGTGCCAGGGGATTCTCATTTTCCGACGTTTCCTAATTTGCTGCTAACTGCTGATGAGAAAATGGAGCTGCAGCAACAGTGTGCTGTTTATCTTGGTAGCAGTTACTGTTTTGCCTCATGGATCACAGATGTCTCTTTTTAAGTTTTAACAGAGCTTCCAAGATTCCACTGAGTCACCACACAAACCGTCAGACATACAGAACGATAGCCTTTTCATTCACATTAACTTGATTTGAAAACATAAATCTTGTGTTTTTTGAGTTTTGGGAGGCTGAAACTTATACAGGGAATTTATTCTTTGTGTTTTAAAGCGATTCACCAGTGAACCCAGAGGTGTATTTTTTCAGCAATGTAAAGCATAGAAACAGTTATGTGTAAAATCTTTGGTATGCTCGCTGACTGTACTTGCCTCACTCCATCTCTTTCATATGTCTTTCCTGTAGCTGGCTGTTCTGAGGGCTGTGCCTAGAGGAATGTATGATGGCCCGGTTTCTGAATTTTCCATGTCCCGCGGTGGTACTCCTTCTGCTTCGGCACGTACTTCTCCTACCAAACAACCAGTCAGAAACCTGCACCAGTCTGGATTCAGTCTAGCAGGTAACCTTATGCCACCACGTTATCCTGACATTGTAATAGAAAAAAGAAAAATCAATATTCTTTCATTGTTTATGCTTTGATTACTTCCTAAACTGAAGTTATGTTTTGGTTATTCTATTTATCATTAACATATAGGGTCTAAACTTCAAAGATTCCAAATAGGAGGTGCTAAAACTGAAGTCGCATTTTTTTAAATCTATTTTTTCAGTACATGCAGTAAGTTGGCTGATTTTGGATGATATGTAAAGACTCCTGCACAAATTTAAGATGTGCAAACCTTTTTGGTTCCTCCCCATTAAAATGAGATGAGATTCTAAGCATGGCGATGGAGGCAATAATGAGAAAGTGGATTTAAAAAATATAGATACTTAATAATATATAGAGCACTTTACAAACAAAAGCACATAATGATAACTTAAGTTAAATATAAATACATGAAATATCATTAAACATGAGAAAATTATCTTTGTTGATCGTCTTGGTTGTCTTAACACAGGTGGAAATATGTAAAACATAAACACGCTATTTAGTTTTTTGTTATATCTGAAGGCCCAAATACGTTTCCATTCACACAGACCCTCACCATCGCCTTTAAAGTGTTGCAACACTTTAAAGGCTCCCGAATTAAAGGCAAAGGTTTTGTTTGTGCATAATTATTTAGTCTCTGAATACAAAATAGAATATCATTTTTTTCATTTAGATGCCCTCTTTTTACTTTTAATAAAACCAGATCATTGGAATCTAACTACAACCACTTGCAATCCTGTTATTCACCAATAAGAAAGGTCTCCCTGATAGAAACACAAGCTGTTGTTGAAGTGGTGCTAGATAGTTGTTCTTTGGCCGAGAGCACAGGACTCCTTTTGAGTGCAGACATCTGGACATGGTCTGTTAAAAAGGCCTGTCTAATGTGTGAGATCACCATAATATCATTGTTTGGCATTCGTTCCATCATGCAGAGCAGAATGACAGTCTGATTGTGCCCACATGTCAGGTAAATGAGGAAAAACTTAGATATTTCAGTCATTTTAAATAAGTACCAACTATGACGACACCTTGATGATCTAAAAAAGAAAACTATTACATAGATACAGTTGTTCGAACAAACGCAGCACCGATTTAAAATTTTGTTGGATCAGCCTTTTTTAATTACATGAGAAAACAGCTGTTTTTGCTTTTGAAAATAATGTTGTAATGTTTATTGCAAATAGTTTACTTTAAAAGAGATTTTGTAGAAAGCCTCCTTTGTCTATATAAGCAAAGCCAATGACTGATACTTAGCTGAAAAAAATGTGACCTTTGCTGGAAGGAATTTCCACATTTGATTGCATGTATCTTAGGCTGCTCCTGGTTCCCAAGTTTTTGCAAAAGATTGTTTGATCTTGTATATATATGTGTCTATCTGTGTATGTGTGTGGTGGGGGTGCATATTTTGAAAATGAGCTGCACTCCTCTATTTTAGGCTTTGCAGAGCTACCACCTGCAGAGTTGATTTACTTGTCTGGAATAAGATGGGAGGGATTGTTTGATTAGTCACTGTGTATCCTGACATCATTCTGCTTTCCATTATTGCACTGGAAGATTTGGTTCAGCTTTTGGCTCATCCCTTGAGAACTATACTTTATGTCAAACTTGCAATCTTATAATTGATGCTTCAGAAATACTGATGGAGCCACATATGAGAGGTTAAAAATCCAGGGGGGAAGATATAAGAAATATATGGTTTGAGTAACAATTATTTGTGTGCTAACTTACTAAGAGGTTTTTAAATAACTCTTAAATTTAAACCATTTGACAAATTGCATCGTTGGTTTCCAGGAGAGGGTGCCAGATTCTCATTTTGGCGGCTGTTTTGTAACACTATAATGATAACATAGGGCTGTGTCAGTCAATAAATTACAGGAGCAAAGCTTTTACACTGCTAAAAAAAACCTTCGGTAAAAGTGGTGTATTTATGAACCTACACAGAATCGTTTTACATCTGGCATATTTAGTTAAAGAGATTCATCAGTGTTAAAAATTTGATACTCTGGAGTTTTTAGCAGGCATAGTTAAGTAGTTTGACCGTGTTAATCACTGATTTGGTGTTGCAAGTCATTACTTACTTAATTTTTTTGTCAAACTCAAATTTTCTCAATCACAACTCAACTTTAAAGATTGTCATTTTTCAGCATTGGTGAATATGTAAAAAAAAAAAAAAGAAAATAAACAAAATTCCACAAAATAATTGAAATACATCGTGGGATACTTATTTTACTCACCATAGACCTCTTACTCATATACAGTAGTATTTAATAGGCTTTTATCAAATCGGTGTCAGAAATCTATGTAAAAATTTTATTTTGGAAATCTTTGGAAAAAGCAGGCAATGCAAACCTTAAAATGGTTGATGCGTGCAACGTTATACAAAAGTTTTTTCATGTAACATTTTTTATTCATTTTACAACAGTAAAATTAACACATAATTCCGCCAAGTGTAACATCTGTATCTTCTGTGATGGCAAATGGAGCCCAGCATTGTTTAAGGTCATTAGACAATATTGTACCTGACCGATGAAGCACAGTCAGTCCATCACCCAAAAGAGGGAAACAATATAGCACAGCTGCAAACCTATATGCTGACCACCTAACCTGACATGCTGGGTAAGGACAGCAATTATCCTATATGTCGGTTTGTGGATCCCTGGAGTTTTGGAAAAACTGCAGTGTCCACTGTTCACGTGAGTTGACAAGAGAATTTAAGAGTTGATAAGAGAATCTTACCTGGAAAAAAGCCTGGTATATAGTTCTACAAATCAAACCATACATTTTTTTTTTTTTCTATAATGTGCTTATTAGGGTTGATCTTTCTCATGCAGGCTCCCTAAACAATACAGTTAAACAAAGGGTGTAATAGGAAAAAAATGTAAGATAAAGATTATAGTTTATGAACTATGTTTAAATGATCATTTTATTTTCTTATTACTTCTGTTTAGTCACTAAGCCCACAATATTGAGGTTCTTTTTTTTACTATATATATATATATATATATATATATATATATATATATATATATATATATATATATATATATACAGTTTAATTGATTCCAAAGGGCATGACAAAGCTTTACACATATGTTTTCAGTATTTTCTAACTGCCTTTCATATCATTTTTATTCCTTTCTTTCTCTGTCTCTGTGTTTAGGCCCTCCCACCCCAGAGGACCTCCCAGTCAAACAACCTGGACGCCGTATAGTAGTGCCCCCTGGTGGTCGCTCCAACATCACATCTCTCAGTTAAACAGCCAGAAGACAAAGCACTCCGAGAAGAACAGCCAGAGTGGATGATAGTGGGATGGGTTGGGCGGGGGGGTAACCAGGGTTAGGGTTTAAAATACTTGCAGAGGGATGCCTGAGTTTAAAGAGCAAAACACTGAATCCTCATGCCTTACCTGTCACAGTGCTACTATGCTCTGATGAGAATTGTATCCGTTTTCCTTTAACCGTGCAAAAGGTGGTAGAAGTTGCCAACAAAGCTCATTACACATGAACAATGTCAGCCTCAGTTTATGTCAGCTCAGAGTAGTAGCTTTTTTTCGAAACGGAAAATGGATACAGATTTTCTTGGGATTCTCCTTTTCTCCTACTTGACTTTCATTATCCCTCCTTATTCAGTAGCTCACTTTCTCCATAGTCAGCAAGACTTAACAATAGATCCCATATTAGCCATGTTTCGTCATGCAGTGCCGTTGATTAGCTTTAGGTGGCAATGTAAATATGGTAGATGTAATGTAGCTTTGTGAATGATGTGGTTGCAGACCGTTTGGAATTTACTGGACCAATTCAAATACTTCGATCACCTCCAAAAGCAGGAGGGCTGATGGACATGGAGCTGCATGGGCCACATTAATATGGGCGACGTGATCCATGATCCTTTTCCACCTCCTCTGAGATGATATTTACCGTCCTCATAATGTACTGTATTGATGTTAAAAAAGAGAGAAAATAAGACCTGAGAAAACAATACAAGGAACCATAAAGACAGAAGAAATATTAAAAGCGTTTTTTTTTTTTGTTCCTCATTCCCAAAATTGGTTTGTCAGATTTTTTTTATCTTGTGTTCACTTCATTTTCCTGCATAAAAGCATTAAAAGAAACCGTCCTTTGCATTTGCTTGCAGTAAATTGGTGACGTCTGCGTCGGTGCAATCATTTAAACAAAATGATACTAAATACACCCACTAAATACATACTCTGGGTATGTATTTAGTGGGTAAACTAAAGCTTTCTCATTAATGCTCTTTGCTGACATTTCATTTTGTAACTAACTTGACTCTTGTTTAAAGACAATTGGAAGATGATACTTCAGTTGTGATCCATCTCTACCCTTTAATAAAATCCTCATTGCATCAAACAGCAACATGTCCATTTTCTGATAAGGCAGAGGATTTTAGTGCAAGGAAGCCATTCAACTGCTCTTTATTGTGTGGAATTTAAACAAGATACTGTTTTTATTCTGCAGACTAAGGCAGTAGGGAGTTGTTTTATTCTTCTTTTTGTATTTATGTTTGGAAGACAACCTTTGATTCCCTGTTTTTAAGTTTCTTTTTTTTTTACTATTGTGTCAGAACTCTGAGAGGTCAATAAAAGGTGTGCTGGTATGAAATGTTTCCTGAATAAACAGAAGTTGCAGCTGATGTTGGTGTTTTATTTTATTTCTCTGGTGCACTGAATGTTTTTTTTCCCGTTCTCCCTTTTTGTATTTTCACATTTAAAGACCTTTAAATATCTTGCTAAACTGGATTTTTAAAACGTTTTCTCCCTATGAATGAAGAGCCTAAAAAAAAAAACAACTATCAGAATAAATCAGATGTAATATAAACTTATCGGAAAAAAACAAAAACAAACATAGCACCACATTAAAACATATCCCAGATTTGATCCCCTTAAAGGTGATTTTTGTCCATGTTTCACTAGCTAGTTACTGAGAGAGGCTTATCATTGAATTGTACCTATGTTTTTATATTGACTGAAACTGAAACCAATGAGTCCAAATCTATTAAGCTTAACTATGGCAACATTTTCAATCCTTCATTTAAAAAAAAGAAGAAAATTGAAAGGTTTCCTTTTGACACAATTTGACGACATTCCTCTGTAACTGACCAGAAAAAGGCTCTTTCAAAGTCAACATTTTGCCGCAGCTTCAGATTTGCTGGTAAAACTGTAAATTAAATAATGCTATACTGTTTTTATGTACTGGTACTATAGTTTTACGTATATAGAAAGTATACATTGAAGTGTCCATATATTTTCTAAAGTTGAGTGCATAACATAGATGAGACTTCTCACCTTTATTTTGGTCAAATCTCCCTCTTATACACCTGTCTTTTAATTCTATAAAAATGGTGATGCACCTTTATTTTATTTTATTAATTTTTTTTAAAAAACTTTCTGGCAATAATCCATTGTTTAATCATGTCTTAGCTTCCTACTTTCAATGGTTTTAATGCTTCAAGTTGTAGATCCATACATTCCCATTTACTCTCCTTTTAAAAACTAGGTCTGGTTTCACAGATCATGAAGTGATCATTTTTTGTTCAATTTCCAAACATCAGCATCTAAGACAGTGTAGAAACCTTAAGCAGAAACACAGAAGCACTTCTTCACTTCTTTAATCTATAATTTTTATCTATGAATGTTTCCCATATGCTACTTTAAACATCTTCAAAATCCCTAACTTATATACTGTGGTTGCTTGCTTATCTGCAGCCATGCCAGACATGAGTGGAGGCATTAATAATCTAAAAATCCCTTCTCTTGTTCAGCCAATAATGTGGAAAGCGCTGCCTCAGCTAAGTCTGCTGTGGAGGAAGGAATGGGCTGTACCCTCTAGATGACCTCAGGGAGCAGTTTGCTTAAATCCTAAACGGTGGATGAGAGTGTATGAGAAAAGGTCATACAGCTTGTTAACTGCAGCCACAGAGGAAGTCTTTTGTTGCTCCATGTAAGTAAAATGATCTTTTGCCCTAACTTTGTATGTAAAATGTCCCCTTTGGCAAACACTCTTCAGGCATCACAGAGGAAAAAACTCCCATAGTTAATTTGTAGTAATACCAGTCAAACAACAGTAGGGGGCAGCAGGCTCTTTGATAAAAAAATAAAAATAACCAAATCTATAATCCCTAAATGAATATACTGGAACAAAATAAACACCATAGGCATACTGTTTCCAAAAATGAATTATATTATTTAAGGCACACATTAAAAGTTTAAGTTTCATCACGATTGCTCACAGTAAATACAGAGTGACAACTGAAGGACAGAAAAACATGGGTGAAATTCACAGTTGCGGTACATTTCTGGTCTCAAAATAAAAGATTAGAATTATATTTTTGCTTAAGATTTTTCCTTATTCAATGAAATTGCCTGGTCTAAATCCTATTCATAAGTGATTTTTCAAACAATTCAATGTCAGATTGAACTTATATCGGTTAAATAGGCTCCATATAACTTTCCTTACTCTTCTTATTCTATAGTCATACATGGAATTTATTCCCAAGCATTATTTACACTGGATAAATCAAGCTCCGACCAGTCATTTAACTACCCCAAGTGATTCCCACAACCAAACAATGTACCAACTTTGGATCTGTAAGGTTACAACAGCAACAAGAACAGTCTTAATTAGAGACGAATTAGTATTAATGAACTTAAAAAAACTAATATATTTCAATGTCCTTACAGTTAATAACCAGGAAAGGATTGATTAATGCATCAGCTAGATAAGAGCAGGGTCAGTGGAGGAATGAGGCATAATTCATCATCTATTAGCTTAAAAGAAGATGAAGATTTCACTAGTTTACATACAGAAATTAGCTTAATGTGATCTATCAGGCATCCCCTCTGCAAGTACCAGCGCGTAAATAGGCTACTTTTTGGGGGATCTGTGATGGGAAATACTCTAACGTAACTATAGATTGTTATTTTGCCTTACACATGTGCCAGAAGCAGAATCCTGCATTATCGTTGATATCGTACAAATAGTTTGCAGAGACAGATAAAAAAAATAAATAAAACAAAATATAATATAATATGGAACATCATATAATAGTACATGAATGGTTGAAAATAACTCAAAAGAGAAACTACATCAACACACATCTGGCAGAGAGTGCAGACATTGACTGATACAGTACAATCAAATTAAATGAACGTCCACCTCTAAGGGGGGAATCATTTATTCACACTAATATCTTGGTTGTTGCTTCATTTGTGCATAAATGCTACCATTAATGGAAACGTATGTGCAAAGTGAGATCTAGTGCCGAAAAAAGCCAAATTGTTCTCTCTTTCTTACAGACTAATGCTAAAGTCTACCCAAAATCACAGCATTTACCGTCCTGGTTCCGTAGCCTTGATGTATCAACATTTTCATTAAACATCATCATTTTAGAATAGACCGTAAACTGATTTTTAAATAGAAATAAGTTTTAAAAAATCTGAGCAAATCAAGAAACTTTCAGCTTTTGCATCTTTCTCTTATCATCTAATATGCTGCATGATGCTACGTGCTAAAACGCTATAACTGCTTAATTAGCCGAGCTAAGCATTAGGAACCCTACTCCATTCCTACTGCCCTGAAATAGCAAGCCATTCATTTTTAAGCTATGCTTCTGTTCAGGACAGAATTTTATCATTAAAACAACTTGTTTTGTCTATTAAGCCTAGCAGTTTAAAATATGCTACTTCTGCCATGCTTGTATCCACTGTCACACAGTACCAATCACAGAGGAAAATGTTCCTACTCAATAGTTTTTCATAGGCTTCAAACTCAGGAGGATTGGATAACTACTCTAAATTGTCCATGCTGCATAATACAGCTGCTGTTTTCACAAAGCTTGAAGGATACTCTCTGAAAGAGACAGATTACTCTCCAAAACTAACCACTTTCTTTCCTAAAAACAACAAATTTCTGTCCTGGAATTTACCAGATTCTTTCCAGAACTTATCAGGTATTTCCTAGAAATGACAGGTTACTCTCCTGAACTTACTATGTACTTTCCGCTAACGTAAACGTCACTTTGCAAAGTATTTTCTAGGTAACTTCCAAAGAGTTAATGTCTGAGAACATTTCCCAGTAATTTCCAGAAAGTGCAGAGTTATGTCTGGCAAAAGTACCAAAAATATTCTGTGAAATTACCAGGGAACGTACTAGTTTCTTTCTAAGAAAACTAAAGCAAGAAGACAGAAAGTTCAGGAAAGTACCATATAGGATTAGGAAAAATTTCAGAGAGAAACGTCTATCTTCCATAACAATAACCTCTGCGCTTTGTCAAAGTGCGGCCCCATCACGTGGTACGAAGACCCAACATTTTATTTAAATGATTATAATCACCTAGAAAATTTGTTATAATAAAACCTTTGCCATTACATTCTGGTGGAGGTGCCCTGTTGTCTTGTTTTTTTTTTTCTTTTAGAAACACCTGAGTGATGAATGGGAGCCTGATATGAGAGACAGTCTGCTTATCTGTTTGGTGACCGCAAACAAGTCTATTAGCTTGCCTCTGATATGGCTGCCAATCAGGCAAACCATCTTACTTCATCGGCTTTTGATGTCTTGCTGCTTTTTGCATTGTTAGAAACAAGTGTGCACAGTGCTGTTTTCGGGACTGTCATTTTCACAGACTGCTCTGGGGTGCAGGAACATAGATGACCAGATGTGAGCGCGTGTGCTGACAGAACAACAGGTTTTGCTTGTAGATTGCTCAGCTGCAGGCTAGAGGCAAGTGCAAGTGATGAGGTGGGTATCTGAGAGTAAGAAGCCTATCCTGATAAATAGGCAGCTGGTTCAACATTGTTATTCTGTCCATCCTCTATTGCCTTGTTCTTCTCGCTTGTGGAGAGTTCAGAAGATTCCACCACAGCCTTCTTTGACCTGTTAGGAAAAGAACAAACACATTTATCAATTTAAAGTAAATTAGATTAGATCCTGATCTTTCAGCTATTTATTATTCTTATGGTCCAAATAATATACTATTTCGCTATTACTAATATTATTACCAAAGTTATGTGTTACTTAAATGTCTTATTTGAACTGTTTTATGTCAGATTCTTTTATATCTGACTAGGTGTTAATTATACAGGTTATTGGGTCTAAAATTTTATTAACAAAGGTCTTAGAAATGTTTTTAAAAACTTTTTTTGAACTGTTTTATTATATATATCCTAAATAACAGTATTTTCTTTGCAGGTTAACTGACAATAATTGTCCTACTAAATACCTGCTTACCAGATCTTCTGCAATTACTTGACTTAATTTGATCACCTTTATACATTATTTTTTTTTTAAATTCATTGCTAAGTGGCATTTCTTGGTTTTAATCTGTTTGTGAATGTTTTTTTTTTTCCCATTATTTTTTTTACAGTAGTTTCAACTCGCAGTAAATCTAAAAGACTCTGGTGGTAAACACTAAGGTATACTGTAAAAGACAGGCCTCACTTTAAATTCATAGTATCCCACATGATTTTACACCTAGTGAGAAATTCTTTAGTCAATTCAGTATACTTCACCGAAATCTAAAAAGTGTAAAAATAAAGTGAAATAAAAAAAAAAACTGAAAAGAGAAACTAAAATGTTCATCTTGACCCTCTGTAACAAATTTGTTTCATGGTATAACTGCAAGACTCTCATTAAAAT